TGGAAGGAGTTCTTGAACAAGAGGGAACAAACACTCCATTTACGCCTGCATGACTGAAAACTGTATCATAAAGCATTGCATACAAAGGGGATTAAGACTACAAAGAAAGCAAGCTTTATTTGGAATTTTTATCTTTTTAGAGACTCTGCAATATTTAAAACATTACTGTAGTTTTCCAAATGAAAGCAATTTAAAAATGAAAGGATATCAAAAAGCTGTTCCTCAAACAGACCACTATCAGTCTCAGGTTCATCAGCTTTAACAAGGAATTTAAAAATTGTTGAAAGCAAGGATAGCCATTTTTCCTGACCCTGGAAACCAAAGAGCATAATTATCATGTGTTTGAGATACCAAGTTGCATGGAAAAGTAGCTCTGGCAGAAATTCACATGTGCTAGCTCACATGACACTGCTTTGCACAGACTTATAAAAGGCATCATTGCATGTACACAGCTGGTCCCAAAGCATGGTAGGCGGAGACACTGTTTTTCAAAATCTACCTAAATGGTCTTTTCTACCTCTTTGTCTATTTCTCCCTATCAAGGTAAGTAACAAACAGACAGTGTCAGAATTTAAAGTAGGAGAATGCTTTAGTTAAATACATGATACTGTTGCAAGCAAAGAGAATTTTTCAACTGGCAACCATTTCTTAAAATTATTAAATGAGCTGACATTAGCAAAAAGAGAGAGCAGAATGGAGATTCTGCAAATGGAGAGCAGAATAAACTCCCCATAATCCAGGAGCAAGCAGTTAACTCCCTGCTACACCATCTGGACACCCACAAGTCTATGAGACCTGGTGGGATCCACCTGAGAGTACTGAGGGAGGAGGGGAGAGAGGAGCGAAGAAAAAAAAAAAGCCACTCTCCATCATTTATCAGCAGTCCTGGTTAACAGGGGAAGTCCCAGATTGACTGGAGGCTCAACAATGTGATGCCCATGTACAAGAAGGGCTGGAAGGAGGAACCCAGGAACCACAGGCCTGTTAGCCTGACCTTGGCACCTGGGAAGACTATGGAGCGATTCCTCTTGAAGGGCACTAGAGGCCATGTGCAGAACAACCAAGGGATCAGCCCCAGCCAGCATGGGTTCATGAGAGGCAGGTCCTGCTTGACCAACCTGATCTTCTTCTATGACCAGATGACCCGCCTGGTGGATGAGGGAAAGGCTGTGGACGTTGTCTACCTGGACTTTAGTAAAGCCTTTGACACTGTGTCGCACAGCATTCTCCTGGAGAAACTGGCGTCTCTTGTGGCTTAGACAGGTGCACTCTTCGCTGGGTAAATAACTGCCTGGATGGCTGAGCCCAGAAAGTTGTGGTGAATGGCGTTACATCCAGTTGGCGGCTGGTCACAAGTGGTGTTCCGCAGGGCTCAGTTTTGGGGCTGGTCTTGTTCAATATCTTTGTGGATGATCTGAGTGAGGGTATCGAGTGCTCTCTCAGTAAGTTTGCAGATGACACCAAGTTGGGTGGGAGTGTGGATCTGCTGGAGGGCATGAAGGCTCTGCAGAGGGATTCTGGACAGGAAGGACCAACGGGCTGAGGCCAACTGTACGATGTTTAACAAGGCCAAGTGCCGGATCCTGCACTTGGGTCACAACAACCCCATGCAATGCTACAGGCTTGGGAAGGAAACACAGAATAGTAAAACTGAAACGATTTCTTGAAAAATTCCATTTCGGGGGCTACTGTTGTACTGTTTATTTATTGTCACAACATTGTGTATTCTGAATAGTAATTACAGTATTTGAAGACAAAAACCAGTTTATTTCTTGGTAGGCAACCTGCACAATATCAGAATGCTCTGAGTTCCACAAGCAAACAAAAAAAACCCCACAGAAAGCCCCCACAAACTCAAGACTCCCTATCTGTTTCCCTCCTCAAAAGTGACGTGCATCACTTGGACATCATCCACTTTAAATACACATTGCAGCTTCTTTTGTGTGTTATCAGAAAATGAATGCCCAAGAAATCAACACATTTGGGAAGGGAGGGAAAAGAAAATTCTACAGAGACAAAACTCTCCACAGATACAGGTCATTCACTGCCTGTGATTCTTAATTGCATTAGGAACCATTCAGCAAAATCTTTTTGACTGATTAATTTAAAGCCCTGTTTTGAAAACGGGCAGGTCAAGAGTAGCTTATTGATACTGAAGATCTGTAACTACATTAAACATTCCCTACAGGGTTGAAATTGAATGATTCATTTCTTGCTAAACAGCTAATAGTCAAACACCCTCTAGACTTCTTGATCTTCTGTCAAAAGGTCTATTGTATTCAAAAGATTTATGGCAGTGTATCTAGTAAAGCATAGCTCAGGTTACAGAAAGAGAACAAGCTAGAAAATACCACAGCACATGCACATCTCTACAGGGCAAAATGGAAAAAAACATCACCTAGTTCTTTGCTGAAAAATTCATGACCACACAGAAG